CACACACACACACACACACACACACACACACACACACACACACACACCCTGTTAGTTCTTCATATATCTTGGATAACAAATCATCATCTGAGAGATGACATAAAGATTTTCTCATTGGACCACTTCCCTCCTTGTCCTAGATGCATTAATTTTGTTTATGCCAAGTTTTTCAATTTCATGTAGTCAAATTATCTATTTTATTTTTTGTAATTGTCTCTATGTCTTATTTGGTTAAAAATGCATCACCTATACTTAGCTGTACATGATCTGTTACTCTTTTAAATTTTTATGGAATGATTTTAAATATTCAAGTCATATATCCACTTTTAATTTATTGTGAAATAATGTAAGACATTAGTGTTGTGTAAGTTAGTTGTTAGTGTTAAGTGTAAGTGTAAGATGTTAGTCTAAGCCTACTTTCTGCCAGACTGCTTTCTCTTTTCCCAGGAGTTGTAAAATAGAGTCCTCTCCTAAGTAATTTATGATTTTAGGTTTATTGAACACTGGGTTCTTGAGTTTCGCTGTTTCTGATTCTCCCTTGTCTAAATTGTTCTATGGATCTGATAAAGGACTTTGCTTTTCAATTTTTGAGAAAAGTTTAGACAGTATTGGTATTATTCTTTAAAAGTTTGATAGAATTTTCCTCCAAATCCACCAGTGTCAGGAGGCAAGTTTTGTTATTAATTTTTATTATTTTGGTCTTATTATAAATTCAGTTTTTCATATCTTTGAAGGTAATCCTAGTTTTGTTTCCAGTTTTGTCACCATATAACTGTGCAGAGTGGACTCTACTCGTTATTTTTTTCTTGGTATGTTGTGGTTTCACCTTGTTCATTTACTATTTTGATTTGACTCTCTCTCCCTGAATTTTCTAAAAAGCCAGGTTGGTAAAGTTTCATCAATGTTATCAGTCTTCTCAAAGAACCAACTTAGTTTTATCATTTCTAGTCTTTTATTCTTCAAGTTAAAGATTTTCAGTATCTCCTCTTTTGTGTATTAGGTTTTTTAATTTTTAAAAATGGACAGTTCATTAATCCTCTCATTTGATATTTTGTTAATGCATGTTCAAGGGATATTTTTGTCCTAAATACTGCTTTAGAAAGATTCCCAGAAATGTTGGTATGTTTCATCATTAGCATCATTTCTCACATCATAGGTTCTATTTGTTCTTTGACTCGATTTCATTATTAACCCTCCATTTGGGTATGTGTCTTATATGCTCCTTGAACTGACTGTTAAGGGTCTGAAAAGTGTTTATTTCTGCCTTTTTACATTCATTTGCACTATTTCTGTGCCCTAATAATACATGATCAATTTTAACTCCACGCAATGATGAAAAATACACATACCAGTTAATACCATTTAGAAGTTGTTGTCTTTTAACTCCAACTTCTCCAGCTATCTGTTCAATTCTATATTTTCCCTTTTGATCATGTTAAATTTGTCCAAATCTAAAAGGGACATTAAATTCTCCTATTATTACTATCATCTTTTTTTAAATTAATTTTCAGATCTTCATTCTCTATTTTCACACCTCCTCCCCTACCCCCTTATCCTCACCCTATTTTGAGAGCAAGAAAAATAAAATCCTAGTTGCAAACAGTCAAGCAAAAGAAATTCCTGAATTGGCCATGTCAAAAAAATAAAAAATAAAAATAAGCACTCTGCTGAGTTCATCGTTTCTCTAGCAGGAGGTGGAAATATTTCATCGTGACTAGTCTGTAATCACAGTTGGTCATTGTGTTCATCAGAGATACTAAAGCTTTCAAGAAGTGTCTTGACAATATTTTCTCCTGATTTTATTCACTCAGTTCATACAACACTTCCCAGCTTTCTCTGAAACCATCCCCTTCATCATTTCTTATAGCACAATAGCATTCAATCACATTCATATACTGTAACACATTGAGACATTGTGCAGTTGATAGTATCCCCTCAATTTCCAATTCTTTTGACACCACAAAAAGAGCTGCTATAATTTTGTATATGTGGGCTCTTTTCCTTTTTTTTTTTTAATCTCATTAGTGGGATTGACCTATTATTGGTATCATTGGGTCAAAGGGATAAGACTTTTTGGGCACTGTTCCAAATTGCTTTTCAGAATGGCTGGATCAGTTCCGTTCCACCAACAGCGTATTAATATATCTGTTTTCCCACAGCTCATCTAACGTGTTATTTTCCCTTTTTACCTATTTTTGACAATATGATGGGTCTGAGGTGGAACTTTAAAGCTGCTTTAATATGCATTTCTCTAAATAGTGATTTAAATAATTTTCACAAAGTTATTAATAGCCAGGATTTTTTTCCTCCAAAAACTGTCTATTCATATCCTTTGACTGTATCAATTAGGAAATGGCCACTATAAATTCCCAGTCTTCTCATTTTATCCCCATTTACTCACTTCAACTCTAATTCTAGTTTCATTGGTTTTATTTACACAGAAACTTAATTTTATGTTATCAAAAGTGCCCATTTTTCCTTCTGGAATCTTCTCATTTGGTAACAAACTCTTCCCCTCTCCATAGGATGGGGGATTTCTTCCTTGTTTCTCCAATGTTTACATCAAAGTCATGGACCTTTCTGGAACTTCTCTTGGTGTACAGAATGTGAGGTGTCAGTCCATACCTAGATTTCTGCCAGACTGATTTACAATTTTCCTAACAATACTTGGGGCAAGTTCCTGCCCCATGAGCCGGGATCATTGGGTTTACCGAACACTAGAATATTATGACTGTTTCCTTCAGTATATTGTGTACCTGATTTGTTTCACTGGTGAACCTATTTCTTACCCATTAATAATTTGTCTTGGTGATTAGTTTTGTAGTACAGTTTGGGGCAGCTAGGTGGCACAGTGGAGAGTGTACCGGGTCTAAAGTCAGAAAGATTCAAATCTGGCCTTAAGACACTGGCTGTGGTGACCCTGGGCAAGTCACTTAACTGTGCTTGCCTCAGTTTCCTCATCTATAAAATGAGCTGGACAAGGAAATGGCAAACCATTCCAGTATCTTTGCCAAGAAAACCCTAAATGGGGTCACAGAAGAGTGGAGACTGAACAACAACAAAAGTATAGTTTAAGATCTGGTATTGCTAGGTCCCTTTTTCATTAATTCCCTTGGTAATTCTTTTTTTCATCAAGAGAAATGGTTTTGTTTTTTTTTTTCTAGTTCTATAAAGTAAGCCTTTGGTCATTTCATTGGGGTCCCACTAAGTAAATAAAATCAATTTAAGGAGCCTACAGAAGAACCATTTGTCTCCAATTATTTAAATATCTTTGTGTAGTCTTATAATTTTGTTCATATATTTCCTGTGTGTCTTGGCAAGCAGACTCCATGAAATTTCTCTGGCTCTTCCTTCTGGATTTTGTTGGTAATACAAGTGCTGATGATTTATGAGTTTCTATCTCTGTCTCCTTGGAATTCAGTTAATTTTTCCTCTGAATTTCGATGCTATCACATTTGTATCATTTGTATTTGCAAGTTTAATAACTGATGCCAATTTGTTCTCTATGGTTCCATTCAGCATAATATAAATTCATTATCTGTATATTGTGACTGTTTTTCCTCTGCCTGATAACATGCTTGCAACTCTTGCTTTTTTAGACTCACCTGCTTAAAAAAATAAATTTTGTTCTAGCTGCTGATTTTTATTGAGATTGTCTCTGCAATTTAGGTACTTTCTGTAAGAAGGTTTGCTGGGTTTTCTTTTCCAACACAGTCACTATCTTTCATTTTACTGAGTTAGCTCTGTTTGTCTCTAATATTGCTTTCTTCTTAATTAAGATTTTGACTTTAATTTTATTTTTCCCCAATTACTTGTAAAAACAATTTTAACATTTGTTTTCTTGAGTTTCAAATTTTTTTCGCTCCCTTTCCCTGTTTCCCCTCCATTGAGAAGTCATGCAATTTCATACGTCATACATGTGCAGGCATATAAAACCTATTTCTATGTTAGTTGTGTTGTGAAAGCTTTGTCTTCAAGTTACTTTTGGTTAATCTATTTGAAGCCAACCCTGTTCCTACAGGACAGCTCTCTTCTCCCCACCCAACTGTACCCAACACACACACACACACACACACACACACACACACACACACACACAC